GATCTATTTTCTAACTCTTTACTTATATTATTTGATATTATAGCAGTATCACTGGTTAAGTCATGATATAAAATACGTAAAATAGCAGGTGTAATAATTTTAACTAATGAATACTGTTATAATTATATTTTAAGAATTAATATACTATTAATCTATTATCTGTTATACTATTTTAAATATAATAAATATACTGTAATATACTTATACCTTTTCTAATGCATTTTTTCGCATTTGTCAACTAAAATATTGTGATAATTTTTCTTGAATATTTGTCATTACACGTGCCTATGCAGTTTCTGATCATTTTTTAGGAATAGGTGAAACTTTCCAAATATAATTAATAGTATCAAGATAGTTACCTTAATAATACTGATATAAAGTAACAAGAAATTGTATTTGAAGATCTACAATATAATGGTACCATTTCATCACATCTTCAGGTGAAAAAATTTTCAAATTAATTTCAGTATAATTATTTATATTAGATAGATAATCTTAAAGTTGTTTATATTATACATTAACATTTTGACAGGAATCAATTATATATACATTTAGATTATTAGCTGAATGATGTGTAGGTGTATTACTTAAATGTATTTATTTTATAGCTTGGTTGATTTGTGTCAAATTTTCTGCATATTTTTGTATTGAAGATATTAAAATAAAAATTTCTTCGATAATATTATACCATTATTCATTAGTTGCCCATGGTTATTCTATAGATAATTCTAATGAAGAAGTTATTTGTATAATTTTATCATAGCTAAGATTATATTTGGCATATTTTCCAGTAAAATAGAAAAGATTGTAGTATTGATTTTGTTGATATTGATTTAACTCATCAAATAATTTTTCAAGTGGAAATGATTACTTTATAAATTTTATGTGATGTAGATCTATATATTGCAATACTGCAGTTAGACGTTCAATGAAACTTTTTTCAAGATTATTATGCGTTCCATTTTTCCATCCAACTTTTTTACTTCATAATAATCTAATAATATCATTATAAAGTAAATCTCAGTGAGTATCTTTCTTTTTTTACTCTGGAAGACAAATAAGTTATGAATTTTTCATTAGTAAATTAAATGCATTTGGTCCAGGTTTTTGAATATTAACTTCTGTTGTTTCTAAAATGAATTTAATATAAGTAAATTTCAATTTGAATAACATTATTGTATCACCCTGCAATCCTTCTTCTACATAAACCCATTTTTCTGAAGGTTTTCTTAAAAATACTTGAATACTACAACTTTCAAACTGGTTACTTATTGCTGCATTAAAAATGTTGTGAAACTGCAAATTATCTGTCGATGATATCTTTACAACTTATTTGAAATGACTGTTTTAGCTTTTTTAAGCACACATATAACAAAAAAACCTATTGCATAATAGAATCTTCAATTGCATGATAAAAAGTATTTATAAATCTGTATTACATGTGGCTTATGATAATCTTACTTTAATTAAAATAAAAATTATAATAAAAAGAACTGATCAGTACGAAAAAATTATAATCACATGATCAATATATATATTGTTTAATTAACTTTTATTTGTCTAATGAGAGGGAGAGGGTTATGTTAAACAAAGTATTAGATTTGAGTGGTCTTAATTTACCTTATTTAGATAAACACATATTTTTACCCTTGATATCATACTAAAATACCCATTTGTCTCACAACAATCAATCAAAATTATTGAGATACTATTGGACACTACAGAATTACGAATTAAAAAGATCTTCTTCTAATCTGGCAAAATTATTAGATTTAATATGGAAATAAAAAATCTTTGGTAACAAGTTATGATTATGTATGACTCAAATGCTAACTTTATTGAACTTAAAAAAGGCTACGATATTATCTTCCTTAATAATATAGTCTATTTCCATATGTGTGATCTATCACGTGATAAAATCTTAGAATAATCAAAATTCTTAGCTAAACTTACATACCTTTCTCGTTATATCACAGGTAAAGACTTATCTGAATTAGGTTTAATAGTTAATGCAATGGCTTAGATTATCCCTAAAGCCAGATCCAATTATCACAATCTATAATACGTATTCTTCTATTTTTCTTCAGTTAATGATTATGAAGCAGCGATCAGTAATAATAATCTCACTATCAATAGTAAACACATTAGAGCTTCAAATCAGGTTAAGTCGACCTGTTTACCTGATCTGAACCGACCTGAAAATTCAGGTCAGATCAATAGATTTTCAGGTTGATATCAGGTCAGATTAACAGGTCAAACCAATCTGATAAAAATTCAGGTCAACCAATCATTCTTCTTGAATAATTTATTATCGTTAAATTAGAAATAATAAAGTTGATT